ATGCATTCTTTGACCTGACCACTGAGTAATTTCTGCCTTTCAGTAAATTACATCCTTCAGCCTCCAGCTGCATTGTATTTTAAAAAAAACTTATTTGCAGACTGTTCTTTATGCTGGTAGACTTTGAGTTGTGCATTTTAAACAAAATTTTGAATGCATCATTCTGTACCTTTAATTGGCCATTAAGACTCTATTAGTTGGTAGTTCTGGCTAAATAAACAGAATATATTTTTTTAAATGAATAAAAAACATATATCTTTTTATTTGTGAAAGTCTGTACTTGTTTATGACTTTTTATTAAATCTGTAGAACTTTACATATAAATGAAACCTGATTATACCAAATTTCCTTTCAGTTGCTTTTACCTAGAATAAGCTACTTGACATTAGTAACGGACAAAGTAAAAAAACACTTTCAGAAGGTTATGAGACAAGAGGATGTGAGTGAGATATGGTTTGAATATGAAGGCAGTCCCCTGAAATGGTAAGTTTACTTTGGGTCATTAAGTGTTGCATATGTGATATTTAAACATAACTGCCATATAAACAAAATTAGTCAAGTTAAGCTGTCAGCATTTGCATTGCAAACTAATCGCTACATTTTATTGCTTCTAAGGGCCGATGTCAGTACCATGGTATCTCTAACGGAGAGATCTACTGCAACATAACCATTTATCAAAATTAGGAATTAGTCTACAGAATTTTAATTAAAAGTTCACCGATAAAAAAATAAAGTGTAACAACTGCCTCTTAATCCATTAAGAAAAGAGCTGTTAACATCTCCAAAATTAATTACAAACACTGCTTGCTTTCTTGGTGATGGGCCAGTGAATTAATGAAAGAAATAAAATCACATGTGAGTTACTTCATTGCAGATTATATTGTTATGTAGAGGTACCTGGCTTAGCCTTATATTGACTACCTCTGACGATTATAAGCAGCAGTCCAGTCAGAGTAGCACAGCTCAGTGCAGGCTAATTCCCCATACCAAGAACAGGGTAAATTTGCTTGTCAAGCTTCAGTCTTCTGTAGTTCTACCAGTACCTGAGCTAGTTTTCTTATCTCTGCACTGTGCTGCCACTTGCAATGTAGGCATTGTCACAGTACTCTTAATTTTTGTCATGGTGTAGCTCAGTGCATTTTCTGTCCTTGTCCAACTTTACAGAAGCGAGTGATTTTAGGAAAGGAGTGTGAAGACAAAAATGAGCATTATTTAAGAAAACAGAAAAATGATTAATGTTTAAGGATTTGTTTCATATTCTTCATCACGTTTGCACCTCTGAGGTGTGTGAGGCAAAAGTCAGGCTGTGTCAGTCATTTTTCAAAATATTTAATTTTTCACAATAATTTATGTTCTGAGGGTAATGCTGCTTTGGCCTTGGTTGTGATACAGAGTGTGCCTCGGTATCCCAAAGAAGGACATGTTTAGGTAGCATCTCATTAGGTATTCTTAAAAATGTATGCTTCTCTTTTCCTTCCTCCCCCCTTCTGTCCAACAGTATTTCCAGTCATTGATTGTGAATAAGTAGGGTTACCGTATTTCCAGTTTCAAAAAACAGGACACCTGTTGCTTGGAGGGGGGTGGGCAGTGATATGCTGGCACCCTGCCCATTCTGTTGCTCCTCACTCCCAAGCCACATCCCACCCCAGCCCTGCTGCTGCCTCTCACTCCTGACACACAGACGCCAGCCCTGCCAGGGCCCCTCACTTCCAAACTGTAATACCCTGCCACCCTTGGCTTGGCTGGTTCCCTTCACTACTGACCTGCAGCCGCCCTGCTGGTGCCCCTCACTCCCGACCCACAGCACTCTGCATCCCTGCTGGTGCCCCTCACTCTTGAGCCGCATCTCCCAACTGCCCTGGTTCCAACCCTGCCAGAGTGGAGTGTGGTGGCTTGGAGTGAGTCCGGCCCTGCACAGGCCGAAGGGAAGATGAGGAGAGGCTTTTGGCACCCCCTGCCCTGGGCTGGGGTTGGTGCACCACACTAGGAGGCCTGGCCATGGCTCCTCCCCCCATCCACCTCTCCCCTCCCCAGCGTCTCCTGGCCGCTCTGCACCTGCGAGCATGGGCCACTGGCCTTTGTGCTGCCAGCCCGGCCATGGGGTTCCTGGCTGGCCTCAAAATGTCCTCCTACCCCCTCTCCTTCTCTGGAGGAGCAGGCACTCCCCTTACCCCCTTGTCCTGCCGCAGCTCTATCCCAAGCCCCTGCTCCCCAACCCAGACTTACCTGCCTGCAGTTCTCTGCCTAGCATTGCCCCTCCTCCTGCTCCGACTAGCGGAGCACAGCAAAAAGCTGGACATTTGGTAAGATTTGAAAAGCCCACCTGGACGGAGATCTGAGGACTCAAAAAGAGGACATATCTGGGAAAAGCTGGACGTCTGGTAACCCTAGGACTTTCTCCTTTCAAGTCCTAAAATTAATGTATGATTGCCTATTTCAGTGGCATAATTCATAATTATGTGGCAGTATGCAATAGCTGCTGAAAGAGCATAAATTACTTACAAGTTAGCTAAATTCAACACAGCTCAGTATGGATGTATTTCCCTCCTCTTCCTAATTATCGCTTTAATGTGTCAACTGAGAAAAGTAACACCACTAATCAATGGTCTTTCCTGGGAAAGAGTCAGATTTTCAGGATTTTATTTAGAATAGTACTGTTCCAACTGTATAGTTCATTGATCCAGATTTTAACATCTCTTTGGGGGATAACTGTCCTGAACTTTGGTGTGTGCTACCTCATTGATGTCAGCTCCAGTTTTTAAACAGAAACTG